AATGAGACGAGAAAGCTTCTCCACGATCAGTTGGCCCAGCAGTTGGCACCGATAAAGAACTCAACAATATACTGACCTGCTCCTCCGAGTTCCCCTGAAACGGACATGGGTTTCGCGCACAATCATCGAGGTTATCAAACCAGCCAAACGCGGGAGAAGTATTCGGATCAGACACAAAATATGGATCACGAGCATTAAACTGCATAACATCAAGTACAGCTTGTCTACAAATCGCCAGTTTGATTCTCCTTGTGTTTTTTCCAACTGGTCGAAACAGAACTCATCGAACAAAATTGCGCCGTCATGATGCCGCACAAGGAAGGGGCACGCAAGAACAACTAATCAAACCAATGCCGACAGATCACCCGTTCGGTACTCAGAGATGCACGTTACGTGCGCATGCACAACCTGTCCGCACGACGCGGCTCGAGGAGCCCCCGACGGGCCAAGGCCGCGGGAGAGCGGGAGGCAAGCTCCGCTTCCGCAACCTTGGTTACCGCCGGGAACTCGTAGATCTTCCTTGCGATAGAAATGAGCAGGACGCGGGCGCGGCAATCTCGCATTCCCCTCGCGCGAGGGCGCGGAGGAGGAGGAGGAAGAAGAAGAGGGCGAAGAAGAGGAAGAGGAGATGGAGCAGGCAGAGGAGAAAGAAAGGAGAGGAGGAAGAAAAAGGAGGAGAAGGAGGACGCAAAGGAAAAGGGAAAGTGCAGGAGGAGCGAAATTTCGAGAGGTGTGTCTGAGGTTCTTAGCCAGCATACAGATCAGATGAAGTAGAGAGAAATTTAATCATCTCAGGCAAAATGCATAATACGGGTAGTTTTCAAACCAGGCTCTGGTCGCAGACCGATCTCAGGACGTCTAGAAAGTCAGAAATAGCGCGCATGAGAATGTTCCACCGATTGCTGTGCCAAACAGCTGTGTAGTTCATCTGCAGATCGAGTTACATCAAGAAAGTCATCATCATCTCTTAAAAATTGGCAGAATAATACTAGCTTATCGGACCCAGCTCTGGTAGCAAAGCGAGTTCAGACATCTAGATACTTGAGACTAGCGCGCCTGATGATTTTCTTGCGATTTCTGTGCCAAACAGCTCTGTAGCTCATCTGCAGCTCGAGTTAAGACAAGGAAGTTGTCATAACCTCTATTTAGCAGAGTACAAGTAGTTTTGTGGCCCCAGCTCTGGTAGCAGAGCGATTTCGGGCATCTAGATACTTCAGACTAGCGTTTATTATGTTTCCCTTTCGATGGCTGTGCCGACCAGCTCTGTAGCTCATCTGCACCTCGAGTTGTCTCAGGAAAGCCATCATCATCTCTCAAAAAGTTGGCACAGCAAGAGTAGGTTTTCGGACCCAGCTCTGGTAGCAGAGCGAGTTCGGGCATCTAGATACTTGAGACGAGCGTTCCTGATGATTCCCTTTCGATTGCTGTGGCGAACAGCTCTCTAGCTCATCTACAGCTCGAGTAAAGTCCCGGAAACCATCATCATGTCTGACAAAATCAGAAGAGTACGCATAGTTTGTTCGGACCTAGCCCTGGTAGCAGACAGAGTTCGGGCATCTGGATCCTTAAGACTGCCGCGCCTATGAGTTTATATATATAATGTGCCTGGCAGCTCTGTAGCTTTTCAAGTTCCGAAAACCGACAGCACCTCCCAAGACCACACTAAACAACCGATCCCGTCTGAATGCTTGTTGAAAGTAATATTTACCCGATGGACCTGAGATTGAGATGGCGAGTGGGAATGGAGTTCGAAAATGGGGAGTACGGATAGTTGGTTGGTCCTAGCTCAGCTAGCAGACCGAGTTCAGACATCTAGATACTTGAGACTAGCGCGCCTGATGATTCTAGATAAATTAGGTGTGCCTGCCAGCTCTGTAGCTCTTCTACAGCTCGAGGTAAGTTCAGAAAACCGACAGCACCTGCCAATATGACACAAGACAGCCGATCCCGCCCACATGCTTTTTGACACGACTACGTACCCGATCGACCTGATATTAAGATGGCGAGCGGGAATAAGATCGATTATGGGGGTTAAAAATACTAGAGCTCTAGCGAATGTTCAAATTTCGAGGAATCGATTTTTAACCGGCCAAACTAATGCAAAACATCCGTCAATTTTTTTGGTCAGCTAGAACCCCAGCGCGCCGGAATTACTCTCTAGCTTCGCCGCTTCGCTCTTATGGGGAGCTCTACGAGTCACCTTTGAGAGGCGATGGCTATTTTGTCTACTGAACTCAAGCTGTAGGCGAGCTACGGAAACGCGGTGCACGCCAATCGACAGGACATGATCAGGAGCGCTAGTCTAGCGCATCTGGACGTCAGATCGGTCTGCTGCAAGAGCTGCGACTGAAAAACTACTTGCACTCTTGAAGTTATTGCTGGTAGGAGTGGGTTTCCGGAAGATGGCGTGAGTTGCAGGCCGCTGCCGGAGGAAATATGTGGATCAACCGATATGGCATGATCGACTGCATCGGTCTGGAGGCAGGATAGAGCCGAGATGAGACAACACATCCTTGAAAATCAGCATCCCGGCAAAGCAAACTAACGGCGATGTGTGGAAGCCTATCTGGAAACACTGCGAGCTGGCGGTGAGCCGTCAAACTTGGCTACCGCCGGGAACTCGCGGCGCTTCCTCGAATTGCGGGCGCGGCAAACTCGAAATTCGCTCGCGCGAGGGCGCGTCTCCATGGAGGAAGACGCGGAGGAGAAGAAGGAGTAAGGAGGGGAAGGAGATGGAGGAGGCTGAGGAAGAGAAGGAGGAGGACGAGAAAAAGGAGCAGGCGGAGGAGAAGGCGGGGGGGGCGGAAGAGCAGGATGACGAGCAGGAGGGGGAAGGATGGAGAGGGAGAAAGGGAACGACGATGATGATGATGATGAACAGGAGGAAGATGAGGAGAAGGAGGAAGAGTAGGAGCAGGAGGAGAAAGAGGAGAAGGAGCATATGAAGGAAGAAGAGGAGGAGGAAGGAGGAGGACGAGAAGCAGCAGTACGAAAAGTTTGTTGGTTCCAGCTCTGGTAGCAGACCGATTTCAAACATGTAGATACTTGCAACGAGCGCTCCTGCTGATATTCGTCCAATGGCTGTGCCGAACAGCTCTAATCTCATCTGCAGCTCGAGCTACATCAAGAACGGCATCGTCATCTCTGGAAAAATGACTAGAGTACGACTAATTGATTGGCTCCAACTCTGGAAGCAGACCGAGATCGGGCATATGGATACTTGCGAAAAGGGCTTCTGGTGATGCCCTTCCGATTGCTGCGCCAAACAGCTCTGTAGCTCATCTGCAGCTCGAGTTATCTCAAGAAAGACATCATACCCCCTTAAAAAATGAGCAGAGTACGAATAGTTCTTCGAACCCAGCACCGGCAGCAGACCGAGTTCGTGCATCTAGATGCTCGAGACTAGCGCTTCTGATAAGATTCGTTCGATTGCTGTGCCAAACAGCTCTGTACCTCATCTGCAGTTCGAATTAAGTCAAAAAACTCATCATCCTCTCTTAAAAATAATAGAGTACAAATAGTTGTTCGGAACCAGCTCTGGTAGCAGACCGAGTTCGGGCATCCAGATACTGGAGACTGGCGCTTCTGACGATGCTATGTCGATTGCTGTGACAAACAGCTCTGTAGCTCATCTGCATCTGGAGTTACATCAAGAGACGCATCGTCATCTCTAGAAAAAATACGTAGAGCACGAATATTTGTTGGGACCCAGCTCTAGAAGCAGACCGAGTTCGGGCAACTAGATACTTGAGACTAGCGCTTCTGATGATTTGCTTCCGATTGCTGTGCCGAACAGCTCTGCGGCTCATCTGCAGCTCGAGCTACATCAAAAACTCATCATCCTCTCCAAAGAATTAGCAAAGTACGAATAGTTGCTCGGACACAGCCCTGGTAACAGACCGAGTTCAGACATGTGGATACTTGAGACTTACGCGCCTAAAGATTCTAGTTGAATTAAATGTGCCTGCCGGCTCTGTAGCTCTTTTTTCTACAGCTCAAGTGAAGTACAGAAAACCGACAGCAACTGCCAAGATAACACTGCACAGCCGATCCCGCCAAAATGCTTTTTGACAGCAAGTTGTACCCGATCGACCTGAGTCTGAGAGGTCGAGCGGGAACCAGATCGAATAGGAGGAGCAAAAGTGGAGCTCTAACGAATGGTTGAAATCCGAGAAATCGATGTTTAACCGACCAAAATGATGCAAAACATCCGTCGAGATCTGTTCCCAACTAGCCCCCCAGCGCGCCGGAATTACTTCTAGTTTCTCTTGGGGAAGCTCTACGAGTCATTCCCCTTGAGATTCAGGTGCGAATCCGTTGTAGAATTCTGCTGTTCTCGCAGTCGCAGTCGCATTCGCAATGACAGTCGGTCGCAGTGGTAGCGGCCTCAGGATCCAATGGAATCCGACTGGTTCCTAGGAAATCCATAGGGACCCTTAGGGAACCATCGGAATCCTTGGAAATCCGGATTCCTAGGAATTCCTAGGGACTCCTAAGGATTCCTAAGGAACCCTAAGGATTCCGACGAATTCGCATGCCTCGGCCTCAGCTTGGAGCCACGAAACGCTGTGCTGGGTGTGGCGGACGCATGCAGGCCCCCACGGCGCCTTCGGTGGAGCTCCCATAGGGCCACGAAACGCTGTGCTGGGCGTGGCGGACGCTTGCGGGCACCCCCACTGGGGCTTTTGGTGAAGCTCTCTACGGGGCCACGAAACGCCGTGCTGGGCGTAGCGAACGCATGCGGGCACCCCCACCATGACCTTTGGTGGAGCACCCTATCGGGCCACGCAACAAGCTGCGGCTGAGGCAGGCTGAGCCTGAGGCTACAGGCTGAGGCCGAGGCAGGCTGGGGCTGAGTCTGAGGCAGGCTGAGGCTGAGGGAAAGCTGAGGTTCAGAGGCTGACGCTAAGGCTCAGACAGGCTGAGGCTGAGACTGAGGCTGAGGCTGAGAGAGGCTGAGGCTGAGGCAAGCGGAGGCAGGCTGACGCTCAGGGAAGCTGAGGCAGGCTGAGGCTCAGGCTGAGGCTGAGGCTGATGGCTGATGCAGGCTGAGACTGGGCAGACTGGTAGCCGGCGGTAAACCGTCAACCAGGTTTTTGTTTGCGTCTTTGCTGGGACCATCTTGGCCGCTGAGGCCAGGTCTAACGAAGTCTCCGGCGAAGCGGAGCCTCTTTTCTGCCACGCAAGCAGTCAGCTCTTATCTCACATCAGCGAAGCTGTTGGAATAAAGAGAATGAGAAGCACGCAATGACACCATCAAACGCAAAAGCACACTGAAGACCATACATAGAACAAACAATACAGCGAAGCTGTTCGAATATGCAAAGAAGAATATGGTAGAAATGAAAAACAAGTGTGGCTTATACGTGCGAATGACCAAAGAAGTTCTGCACAACCTGTGGGGGCACATCACAGATGCGCTCCGCCGCTGATAAATCAGTACATGTCACCGTAGCACTTGGTGGTAAACACCATGCTGCGAGATACACATCCTTGTAAGTGATGCCAGTCCGCGAGAAGATGTACTTATTTCGCAGATCGATCTGTATCCACGCGCCGCAGGCACTTCCGCGGCTGCACACACCCCCATCAAGGCCAGCTTTGATGAGGCAAGGAGTAAAGCACTGCGATTCAAAATCACTGAGGTAAAAGAAATCGGCGTACACTTGGCACTGGCGGGCCTGATGAGTCAGCAAGTCAGCCCTTTGGTTCCATTCACACAACGAATGAGGGAAGAAGTCTCGGCCAGCCTCTGGAGGCCTCACCGAATACATTCACCGAATACCTACTCTGCATGCCGTCCAGCGTATTCATCAGAATATCTACTCGTCTTTGATACACCTGAGATAGTACTTTCTATTTCCCGCACAGCCAGTTGATCACTAATAGGCAGTCCCCCTGGATGTCTAATGGTCTCCCTCCCGTTTCAAGGTCCCATTGTGTACAACGCATGGTTATGCAACGCAATACGTCTGCTAAGTCGTTCCCTATATGCAGGTGTGTCCTCCCAATCCTCATCAGCATTCAAGAATACAGGCACCCCCGAAGACGCCAAGCCTTTGCGTTTCTTCTGGGAATACTTCAACATACTATTAGAACATACATGTGTGGCACAGCCCATGAAGTGTTCAAAGCTCCCGACGAACGATTCCCACCAGGATGGACAGTAAAACGACTCCAAAGAGTGATATCACGAACGAAGACCGACACTCTCCTGTCCCCCACGATGTCGTTTTAATGAGCTGGCCTCCTTCCATTTCCCCCAACATCTGAGAGCTTCGCTTGAATCAGTTCTCGTCCTGTCCCACAGACGGCCAAACGCCAGGCATGAGAAACGAGAATCTCTCCACGCTCGTGTCGAATTTGTCTCAAGCGCCTCCTGATTCGTGAGCAACGCAGGGGCAAAATCGGTCACGTCGATTGCCCACATCCAGTGCACACGGAGGAACTTCTGTACAATACTCGCATACTGTGCATCATGAAACTTCTGCCTTGCTCTTTCATACCTCCTCGCATTCCACTCCTGATAACTTTCCTCCTCCCTCCGTGCACAACGACACATGACAGCCAAACGTTTACCTTCAAAGATATGCAAAGCACCCAAGGAAATATAAACAACAGTACAACCTTCTGCATAATAAAGCAAGATACTCTGCACCCTCTGCGCGTATCTCTCATACTTATCCTTCAACGGAATGGCCGTGGAGCGGAAGAAAGAAGCCTGACCCCAGAAGGCCCTCCGAGCCGAACCAATACTCGCATCCAAATCTGGGTGCTCGTTCACATGTAGTTCAGAGCAAACGTGAGCCCCAAGTACCCCCATCTCCGTCACTCTCCTGAAACGATAAACTCCAAAACTTTCCGACCCCATCGAAAGAACCAGGTCCAGAGACGGCAGCATTTCCCCTTCAGCATCACGCGGAGGAGCAGCACCGAACACCATGTACAATAGACTGGACTCCTTCCACTTCACACCGTATTCGTGTAGATGTATAGCTAGACCGCGTAGCATGCGAGTGAGTTCCCCCCGACTCCGAGCCAAAACATAACAGTTATCAGCCCAAAGGAAGTGATTCATATTCGAAACAAAACTAGTCGAACAAGTAGCAAACTCAATACGATAACCTGAGCCTAACACGTCCCATTCCCGAATCGTAGGACTCCACATAGCGGCAACGATAAGATTGAAAGCCAATGGGCCCTCTGGCCCTCCGGTCCGAATACACTTGCCCCACTCCACCTCCAACACCTCAATACCATCGTAGTAAACATTGCCGACACACTCACACAGGGGATTTAGTAAAGCATACTGTAGGTACATGGGCACATCAGCATGATCCAGCCCACGCCTGACGTTGGCCACCGCGCAGTGGTCGAACGCCTGGAGGACATCAGCGTTCGCCAGGTGCGTCGTTTCCCCTTTTCCCCAGTTTGCAGCATGTTGTCCTATATGTTTGAAACTAACCGTAATTTCATAGCCGGGACCATCGTAGGGCTCTGAACACGCGAATGAGCACCCGCATAACAAGAAGAAAGCGTTCCTGAATTTCAGCTAGACAACTCGCGAAATTACCGAACAGCTTTTGCTGATAGGTTTCTAATGGTCTCAAAAAAGAGCAGCATATGACTCCACAGGGGGGTCGGGGCGGGACCCGGGGAGGTGCCGCCGATCCGAAATCGCTTGGGACATCCTCGCAAAATCGCTCTTGGTGCTCCCAGAACTCCATTCCCGGGCCACATTTTGGATGCCCGGAGCCAACTGTAAGCCACTTCTTGCTCTTCGACTTCCCAGAACTCCATTCCCGGGCCACATTTTGGATGCCCGGAGCCAACTGTAGGCCACTTCGTGCTCTTCGATTTCCCAGAACTCCATTCCCGGTCCACATTTTGGATGCCCGGAGCCAACTGTAGGCCACGTCGTGCTCTTCAAGTTCCCAGAACTCCATTCCTGGGCCACATTTTGAATGCTGAGGCAGGCTGATGCTGCGGCCGAGGCAGGCTGAGGCTGAGGAGGCTGAGGCCGAGGCTGAAGGCAGACTGAGGCTGAGGCTGAAGCAGACTGAAGCTGAGGCTGAGGCAGAGGCAGGCTGAGGCTGAGAAGCAGGCTGATGCTGAGGCAGGCTGAGGCTGAGGCTGAGGCTGATGCAGGCTGAGGCTGAGGCAGGCTGAGGCTGAGGCCGAAGCTGAAGGCAGACTGAGGCTGAGGCTGAAGCAGGCTGAGGCCGAGGCTGAGGCAGGCTGAGGCTGAGGCAGGCTGAGGCTGAGGCTGAGGCAGGCTGAGGCAGGCTGAGGCTGAGGCTGTGACTGCGACTGCCGTTGCCGCTGCGACTGTCATCGCGAATGCGACTCCGACTGCGAGAACAGCAGAACTCTACAACTGGATTTCCATCTGAATCTTAAGGGGAATGCTTTCAGATATGCTTCTACACATCGCTGTTAGATTGCTTTGCCGGGATAATGTCTTTTTGGGTGTAATACGACTGGGAGCCGGCCGTAAACCGTCAACCTTGGTCACCGCCGGGACCTCGCAGAGCTTCCTCGTGAAATGCGGGCGCGGCAATCTCGCATTCCGCGCGCGAGGGTGCGGTTTCATGGGGGAGGGCGCGAAGGTGAAGAAGGAGTGAGGAGGGGAAGGAGATTGAGGAGGCGGAGGAAGAGAAGAAGGTGGAGAAAAAGGAGCAGGCAGAGGAGACAGACGGGAAGGAGGAAGAGCAGGATGACGAGCAGGAGGAGAAAGGGTGGAGAGGGAAAGAGAAATGATTCAGCAGAGTACGAACAGTTTTTCGGCTCCAGCTCTGGTAGCAGACCGAGTTCGGGCATCTTGATACTCCAGACTAGCGCGTCTGATGCTTACCTTTCGATTGTTGTGCCAAACAGCGCTGTAGCTTATCTACAGCTCGAATTGCATCATGGTCAGCTCTAGAGAAAAATAAATAGTTGTTGTCGGACCGAGCTGTGGTAGCAGACCGAGTTCCGGCATACTTCAGACTATCGCTTCTGATGATTCGCTTTCGAATGTTGTGCCAAACAGCTCTGTAGATCATCTGCAGCTCGAGTTACATCAAAAAAATCATCGTCATCTCTTGAGAAATTAGCAGAGTACGAACAGTTTTTCAGACACAGCGATAAACCGATTTCGGGCATCTAGATACTTGGGACTAGCTCTGCCGGTGATTTTCTTCCGATTGCTGTGGCGAACAGCATTTTAGCACATCCGCAGCGATTTGCATCGAGACACTCATCATCATGTCTTTTTCTTACAACAAAAAAACGACTAGTTGTTTCGGACCCAGCTCTGGCAGCAGACCGAGTTCAGACATTTGAATACTTGGAAACAGTGCGCCCGGTGATTCCCTTCCGATGGGAACTCGGTCTGCTATCAGCGCTGGGGCTGAACCACTATTCGTACTCTGCAATTTTTTTCGAGGCGATGATGCTTTTCTTGACTTAACTCGAGCTGCAGATGAGCTACAGAGCTGTTTGGCACAGCAATGGGAAGGAATTCAGCAGACTCCATAGTTTAAGATATCTAGACGCCTGAACTCGGTCTGCTATTAGCGCTGGGGTCCAACAACTATTCGTACGGATTTCTTTGCGCTGTTCGGCACAGCAATCGGAAGAGAATCAACGGGGGCGCTAGCTCAAAGTGTCCAGACGCCTGAACTCTGTCTGGTATGTCTATTTTTTCAGAGATGCTTTCCCTCGCTCCTTCTTCTCCTCCACGCCCTTCTCCACGAGACCGCGCCCTCGCGCGCGCAATGCGAGATTGGCGCGCCAGCAGTGCGCGAGGAAGCTCCACGAGTTCCCGGCGGTTACCAAGGTTGACGGTTTACCGCCGGCTCCCAGTTGGCCGACCCGTTGGGCGAACATGACTCGTAGAGCTTTCCTAAGAGCGTTAGCGGCGAAGCTAGAAGAGTAACTCGTAAGCTTCCCTTAGCTAGTTGCTGGAAGCTTAAGAGTAATTCCCGGGCGCTGGAGAGCTAGCTGGCAAGAAAAATCTCGACGGACCTTTTGCTGACTTTTGGTTGTTTACAAATTTTGTTCTCGAAATTCAACCATTCGTTAGAGCTCTAGTATTTTTCCCGTGATATTCGATCTTATTCCCACTCGTCGTCTTGATCTCAGCTCGATCGGGTACCTTTTACTGCCAAAAAGCACACGGGCGGGATCGGCTGTTTCAAGTTATACTGATGCGCGGTGACGGTTTGCTGAACATAACTCGAGCAATAGGTGAGCTACAGAGCTATATTACCAGAAATCCTCTTAGAATGATCAGGCGCGTTCGTCTGTTGCATCCAGAGGTCTGAACTCGGTCTCCTACCCGAGCTAGGCCCGCGAAACTATTTCTATTATTCGAGTGATCTTGACAGGTGCTGTCGGTTTTCTGTACTGGCGCCGGCGGAAAACCGTCAACCTGGTCACCTCCGGCAATCTCGTAGAGCTTCTTGCACGCGTAAGATTGCTCAGAATCGGAAGAAAGAGCTTCTGGAAGCATTTCTCGAAACGAAAAAAAAAATCCATGTCGACGTGAAGCTGATTCCTCCAAGTGTTTTGATAGTACAAGTGTGCCTACATGGCTCATATTAAGACGCAGCGCTCTCACAGTCGTCTAGAGGTGCGGAAAATCTGCTTTCTTAAAATGAATTGTCACATATCTTTCAAATCTTAGCAAAACCGGCCCAAAGTCATCATATCTTCTTTTCTGGCCGGGTCGACCAACTGGGCGCCGGCGGTAAACCGTCAACCTTTCTTACCGCCGGGGGACTCGTAGAGCTTCCTGACCGTAATAATTTCAAAAAATTTGCAGGGAACGAGTAATTTTTCAGCCCGAGCGATTTCAGACCTCTCGATGCAACAGCCGAACGCCCCTGCTGCTTCTGGATCGTTTTCTGTGCGCACGAGCTCTGTAGCTCTCCTACAGCCCGAGTTACGTGCGAAAATCGACAGCACCTCTCAGATGACTCGAACAATACGAATAGTTTCGCGAACCTAGCTCGAGTAGCAGACCGAGTTCAGACCTCTCAATGCGACAGCCAGACGCGCCTGATGACTCCAAATCGATTCCTGTGATTACCAGACCTGTAGCCCCCCTACAGCCCGAGTTAAGTGCAGAAAACCGACAGCACCTCTCAAGATGACTCGAACGATACGAATAGCTTCGCGGATCTAGCCGGGCAGCAGACCGAGTTCAGAGCTCTGGATTCGACAGGCGACCGCGCCTGATGTCTCAAAATAAATTGCTGTGATTACATGCCCTGTAGCCACCCTACAGCCCTAGTTAAGTGCAGAAAACGGACAGCATCTCGCAAGATGACTCGAACAATACGAATAGTTTTGCGGATCTAGCTCGAGCAGTAGACCGAGTTCAGAGCTCTGGATTGAACAGACAAGCGCGCCTGATGATTCTAAAATCGGTTTATGTAAGTATCAGCTCTGTAGCTGTCCTATAGCTCGAGTTAATACAAAAAACCGGCAACGCCTGTCGAGATGACTCGAAACGGCCGATCCCGCCTGCCTGCTTTCTTTTTTTGGCAATGAAAGGTACCCGATCGAGCTGAGATAAAGACGGCGAGCGGGAATAAGATCGAATATCACGGGAAAAAATACTAGAGCTCTAACGAATGGTTGAATTTCAAGAACAAAATTTTCAACCCACCAAAAGTCACCAAAGGTCCGTCGAGATTTTTCTTGCCAACTAGCTCTCCAACGCGCCGGAACTGGGAGCCAGCGGTAAACCGTCAAACAGATTACCGCCGGGGCCCTCGTAGAGCTCTGAATAGACCAAGTCAGTTAAAACGCTTCTCAATACCAGCTTGAAAAATAAAGAAATGTTGTTTTCGGTCGTACAGAATGTTGGTTCCCCCTAGTCTTTTGATCGAAATAATGCAGCTAGGGCCCTGAGAATTGCACCATCGAAAGCGCCATGATTCACTGCATAGAATCATATTTGAAATTTGCAAAACGAATTTCAAAATCTCTCGCAATCTTCGAAACTGGGCGCCGGCGGTAAACCGTCAACCTTTCTTACCGCCAAGGGACTCGTAGAGTTTCCTGACCATATATAATTTCGAAAAAAATGCAGAGAACAAATAGTTTTTCAGCCCAAGCGATTCCAGACCTCTTGATGCAACAGCCGAACGCCCCTGCTTCTGGATCGTTTTCTGTTCGCACGAGCTCTGTAGCTCTCCTACAGCCCGAGTTACGTG